ATTGGTTCATTCAACCTTCCAAGGCACCCTATGGAGCTCCTGTTCTGTTTCAAAAAAAGAAGGATGGATCCTTACGGCTTTGTGTAGACTACAGAGCGCTCAACAAAGTCACTGTCAAGAACAACTATCCAGTGCCGCTTGTCGACGAACTATTTGATAGATTGGGAAAGGCGGTTTTCTTTACCAAGATGGATTTGCGGCTGGGATATCATCAAGTCAGAATTGCAGAGGGAGATGAGGCGAAGAACTACTTGTGTGACAAGGTACGGGTCATATGAGTTTTTAGTTATGCCTTTCGGCTTAACCAATGCCCCTGCTACATTCTGTAACTTAATGACCAATGTATTTCGGGAATACTTGGACCGCTTCATGGTAATTTATTTGGATGACATAGTTGTTTATAGCCAGACTCTTGAGGAGCATGTTGAGCATCTTAGGTTGGCCTTGACAAAGTTAAGGAAAGCCCAGTTGTATCTGAAACCAGAAAAATGTGAGTTTGCCCAGAAAGAAATTTCATTCTTAGGGCATATTATTTCTGCGAGCGTGGTGAAGATGGACCCGAAAAAAGTTGAGGCCATTGCAAATTGGCTGTCCCTACTAAGGTTACTGAATTGCGTTCTTTCCTTGGTTTGGCAAACTATTATCGAAAATTCGTGAAGAATTATTCGAAGAAGGTCGCAGTGCTGACTGATCTTCTAAGGAAGGATAGGACATGGAACTGGTCCTACGAATGCCAGGAGGCATTCGATCGATTGAAGGCGGTGGTGACGTCTAGCCCAATTTTACGCTTACCTGATTTTGATTTGCCCTTTGAAAGTCCATACAGACGCATCAGACTTTGCTCTTGGAGGGGTGTTGGTGCAGAATGGGCATCCAGTGGCATTTGAAAGTAGGAAGCTGAATGATACCGAGAGGCGGTATTCAGTACATGAGAAGGAGATGACAGCAGTCATTCACTGCATCAATGCATGGAGGCACTACTTGTTGGGGAAGCATTTCCTTGTACTGACAGATAATGTGGCTACTAGCTGTTTCAATTCCATGAAGAAGCTGACACCAAAACAAGCAAGATGGCAGGACTTTCTTGCCCAGTTTCATTTCACGTTGCAGTACAAGCCTGGCAGTGCAAATCAGGTTGCTGATGCTCTTAGTCGAATCCCAGTTGCTGATAGGACAGTTGCTGCACTTAGCCAGATTACAGGAGACATACTGCAGAGAATTCAGGATCAGACTAAAGATGATCCAGTGACCAGCTTATTGCTGAAGCAGGTTCACGAAGGGGTGACTCGGCGATTTTGGGTAGAGGATGGTGTTCTCTACGCCAAAGGTAGGAGACCCTATGTTCCGAAGTCAGGCGGACTTCGACAGATGTTGCTGAAAGAAGCTCATGATGCTCTATGGGCAAGACATCCAGGGTAGCAACGGACTCTTGCCTTGCTAGCAGAAAGTTATTATTGGCCCCGCATGGAAGCAGATGTGAAGCTGTATGTGCGCACTTGTTTGGTGTGCCAGCAGGACAAGATTGAAAGGAAGAAGGTGGCGGGTACATTGGAACCTCTCCCTATTCCAAGCCGACCTTGGGAGAGTGTTTCCATGGACTTCATTAATGGCTTGCCTCAGGTAAACGATTTTATTTCGATATTTGTGGTGGTAGACAGATTTTCGAAGTATGCCACTTTTATTACTGCCCCAAAAGTATGTACGACGGAAGTTACTGCTCTGTTATTCCTCAAGCATATTGTGAAGCTTTGGGGTCTTCCGTTGGACATAGTGAGCGACAGGGACACTCGGTTTACTGGCTGATTCTGGACAGCTTTATTTGAGCTGTTGGGCACACAGCTCAAACTTTCCACCAGTAATCATCCGCAGACAGATGGGCAGACCGAGCGGGTTAATGCAATGCTGGAGGAATATCTCAGACATTATGTCACAGTGAACCAGGACAATTGAGTGGATTTACTTGATGTAGCTCAGTTCAGTTATAACCTCCAACAGAGTTCGTCCACTGGAATGAGCCCCTTTGAGTTGACAACTGGCCAACAGCCTCTTACCCCGCATGAAGTAGTCAAGCAAAAGTCTCAATGGAGATGTCCTGCGGCATATCGCTTCGCTCGTACCAATCAAGAGCGGACCGACGAAGCAAAAAACTGTTTAACTAAAGCGGTGAAGAGGATGAAAAAGTGGGCAGACGAGAAGAGGAGGGCAGTAGAGTTCGAAGTAGGTGACAAAGTGATGCTGAAATTGACCCCACCAATCTGGAACAAGATCTCTCGGAAGTCTGCACACAAGGGATTAATTCAGCGTTATGACGGCCCTTTCCTAATAACAATGAGGATAGGCAGGTTGGCCTATAGGCTGGATCTTCCCGGTCGTCTCAAGCTTCATCCAGTTTTCCATGTTGCCTTCTTGAAACCGTATGTTGAGGACCCGGAGGACCCTAACAGATACGTTCGGCGTCGGGCTCCTCCAACAATCAGGAAGCAATTCACAGAAATAGCTGAAGCTATCCTTGACCAAAAGACTGAGGGAATGAGTAAGAAAAATAGAAGAACTCATTACCTAGTCAAGTGGAAAGGGAAGGCACTGGAGGAAGCCACTTGGGAGAAAGAGACGACATTGTGGCAGTTTGAGGATCTCATCAAGCAATACCATGCCTCCATTCCAACGAGGTCGTTGGATACTTTAGGTGGGGGTGGCTTGTCACACCCTAATTGACTTGGGTGCAAATGGCCGGTCTTGGTGGCACCTTGCACCAAGGCATGCCAAAAATTGAAATCAAGGTGATGCGGCTAAGTGGTTTGACAGATTGGGACGAACCAAGGCAGCATGAGACCACCCGGTTGAGTATGGCAACATGGGTGGGCTCAATTGAATCAATGTGGGTGCAGAACTTCGGATTGCATGGCATGGGTTGAACCCAGCATGCACATTGGTTCGAGTAGCAAGGGTGACTGGTGAATGTGGGCACATGACTGCTGAATGTGGACACATGAATGCTGAATGTGGGCACCTGATTGGCACATGGCTGCTCAATGCATGTGACCAGGAGGATGTGGACAGTTATGATGCTGAGACTCGATCAAGGCAGTTCTGGATGTCCCCAGTCTAGATGCATGCTGATGAAGGGGCAGTTCCACAGCAGTTACTTGAAGTGGTGGAACTGTCTGCCAGGTGTTGCACAGAGACCAAGTCTACTAGTCCAGTATGCTATGGAATAGCAAAAACGTGGGTAACTACCCTTTGGCAGATGGGGGTGTCATCTGCCTTTCTCTTGTATAAATAGAGGTGTTTGAGCATTCTGGAGAGAGGGAGAGTGTTCTGGCTTTTGAGAGTCCTTGTAAATTGTTGAGTTCAATATATAAGGTTTGGGAGTGTTGTCCCAGTAGATTCGTGTGTGCCTTCTATGTGAGTGTCTGTCCCTTATTCTTGAGTTGAGTGTGGCTAGTTGTAATAGCAACGCCTTCACAGGTAGCCTCAAAAGAAAAACGAAAGTTACCCTGTGACAATACCTAAGATATACTATTAGTAATGATCTACTGTCTGAAAGTTGGTTTTGCTTCTTCATTTAGTTTATTGCTACAACGTAAACTTGAGATCTGATAAATTGTCACTGTTTTATTTCAAAATTTATATATGATATTTTATAAAATGAGACCAACCTATTTTATATGTTTTCAAAAACGTTGTTCGAGCTTGAAAAAAATTTCCTACAGAGCTTAAAGCTCACCCCCTACAAACAATAAACATCTTTTTCAAATTACGGTTTAAAAGAAAAGTTCGGATTAGATGAGCAGGTATACTGAAAAACTCAGATTGATGGAAACATAGATCCCGAAGTGGATGTTTAGAGTTGTTTTCATTATTCTCTAGCTTGCAAGGTTAATTATGAGATAATGTTAAGAATACTAGTTTATTTATTTTACTGCAAGATAATATTTGATTTTTTGATGTAATTGTCGAGGTTTGGCATATTTTTTTTAGATTATACTTTAATTTTTATATATGATAATTAAAATTCTTTTTATTTATGAATTTTATTAGTTACTCTCATGGTATGAATGATTTATAGATAATAATGCTTTCTAGAGTGGGTTTTGGGACGTTACATCTTTCCATATTAACTTCTAATTTTTTAAGTTTTCACTTTAGGTATATTTAGAGATTTTAAAGGATTATCCATTTATGTTTACTATAATAAGTGGCATACTTTTTAAAATGTTTCGGATACTTTTAACATTTTCCAAAGCCTGTAGATATATTTATGGATGTGAAATGAAATAAGCTAGGCAGACAAATTCCAACTCCTCCTCCTTTCTTATTCTACCAATACATTGTCTCCACTCATTTCCCTCTCTTATCTTCTCTAATCTAGGCTCTCTTCTGTCCTTTTTTTAATGAAAAGCAAAATTCAATTAATAATGTAGAAAAGCGATACATAAATTGAAACGAAGGTAGGCAAGTTGTCCGGCCATAAAATAAAACTAAAAGCATAACCAATGCTTAGCACTACGGGGGACAAACTAACCTCATCAAAAGCTACATGAAACATTTAAACTTGCAATGATACAAAAGATAGGGACATGCTTGAAATCATTTGAAACCAATATCCAAAAAGAAGCCCAAATATAAATTGTTCTAAAAAATTCTCGATCCAAACCAAATAATGATAAAGCACAACCCAATAAAGTAGCACCACTCGTGCCTTTCTGACCATTAGCTTAAATCTAGTTTTCTGTTTTCCTCTTTCAGAATGGTTTTATCTCTTCCGTTATCCTTTCGTTGATTAAACAACCCTTATAAAGGGAACATCACAAACATTCCCAAAAACATGTCTCATTTGGAAGTGTCCATAAGTTCAGAATAATATTATCTATTCGGATTATTCATGGAGATTTATTAGTCACACCTCCACCCCTAATCAATAAACCTAGGACGTTTGACTATAGCTCTCTCTTCAGAAGAATAAAGGGTATAAGTGCAAGAAAATCCAAAGGTTAAATTTACAAATAAAATTTCACCCTATTTTATGAAACACAATAAAAAGAAGAAGAAGAAATAGAACACAGTCGCCGGATTGGAAGCTCAAAAAAACACAAGTTTACCTGAAATTACGACAAAGCTCGGGAAGACTCATTTTGGACTGCAAATTGGACCTTGGCTGCTTAAGCTTAATACAGAACACAGTCGCCGGATTCACCAAATCCTCCTCCATCGGATCGTCTGTCACCTTCGCCGTCACCTCCGCCTCCTCTTCTCCACCTCCGCTATCAATAGTTTCAACCGTCTCCGAACCTTTCGTGGCTTCAACAGCTGAAGAAGTGACAGAGGACTCGTCTTCAGAGTCCTTAGAACCAGATGATTGATTATTCATCTAAACAGTAACGAACTAAAGCCCTAATTTATATATAGAAAAAAGGGCGAGAAAGTTGACAGTGAATGAAGTGGTGGGAAAGTCGCAATTGAGGGCGACAGGAACCACTGTGGTGCGTATTTTGTGCGTGTGTGTGTGTGTGTGTGTGTGTGTGTGTGTGAGAGAGAGAGAGACAGAGACAGAGACAGAGACAGATGGGTGGAGTGGAGTGGGGTGGGGTTGGGTTAGGGTTTGCGTTAAAGTGGATTTTGTGAAGACAAGTGAGGAGATTCCAGGGTGCTGTCGTGCGTGTGTGTGTGTGTGTGTGTGTTGGTTGGGTGGGGGAGGATTGTCTGATTTAGGATTATTGGTCCATGGTGTTAGTGTTGCCACTTTGTTCTTTTTCATTGGATTGGTTTTTTTTTTTATAGAAATTTGTTAGAAAAAATGTGTTTTATAGAGCCGACTACTTATCAAAAAAAATATATCATAAATTGAATCAACACACAAGTTTGGACGGATGTGTTTGTAAGTATTTTTGGTCAGCACATCATTTATGCAAACTCGAGATCCAAATAATAATAAAATAACATGGGCACACCTGCGTGCCTTTATCCGCTAAAAACTCCAATTAGTCTTATATCCCTACGGTGCTAAAAACTCCAATTAGTCTTATATCCCTATGGTGCAAGAGAAGCAAAGGCATGGATGGAGATACGAGCATTGGACTTCCACCCGTAAAAGTTATGATTGTTTTGTAAAAGTTGAATCTAAGAACGAGATATAGGAATTCTAAAGTCTTGATGAACAAATTTTTTTATATTTTTCTTTGTAAATTTTAGTGGAGAGAAAATGAGAAAGATAAAAGTTGAGATAGAAGAGTACGGTGTATGATTTTTAACCGTTTGTGTTGAATATAAATCCACACGAAGTTGTCATATATGGCCTTATTGTGTTTGAGTAATATTTGAATGATCGTAAGGCTCGTTTAATATATCGCTAGACATTTGAACTTAATTGCGCACAATATATGGTTTGAAATAATGGTACATAGTTTGAATGCATTCTATTTTTTGCCAACACGAGAATAATCAACGAACACAATTAGTTTTGTAAGTTCGTGGAGGTAGCCCACCTATTTGTGTTGTTGGAGTTTGGGAGAGAAAATTTGACATTTAGAAGGTTGGTATGAGGTGGCCTACTTGAATATGGTGGAAGTTGATGATGTAGCATTGATGACTTTTGCATGGATAAGAACTAATGAAGTAATTGTCTTAACCAAGGATCAACAAAATGCATAAGAGATATTGAAACCGTTCAACAAAATATATGGTATTATGTCAATGGTATAGTGAAAGTTATTTTTAAGTACACAAGTAAATTCTGCAATTCAGTGGCCCATACTCTGGCCATGCTCTCTAGGCAAAGTACACATCTCCCCCATGGCAACTAATGAAGTAATTATCTCAACCAAGGGTAAAGCTTCGTAATCTTCATTTTAAAGAAATTCATAATTCGACTAAAAAAAAAAAAGCAATTTCCTTTTTTTATCCTTCGTCAATTTTGTTGGGTTGTCTGGAGTGTCTTGTGGGCTTTTTGCCTTTGATGGGTCGACCTGATATTGACTCATAGTAAGCCCGTCTTGGTGGTTGGGTTGGCCTTATCTTTAGGTTGTTTTCTCTTGGTTCCTTCGGCCTGCCCAATTTGGTTTGGATTGGGCTGTTCTTATGTTAACAGGATATATCAGAACATACCACATGTCACTCGCGGTTCATCAAAAAAAATTTGTGTTAGTTAAAGAAGTAGTCTCTATGACGTAGATAAGTTTGTCTACACTCGAACTTTCCCATAATAGTGCATTATAAATAGGGTTAATCACAAATTGCACCCTAAAAAATTATTTAAATTTTAATTTATATTCTAAAAAATTAAAAATTTTAATTTATATCTTAAAAAATAGAAATCTGTATCAATGCGTATCTGAAACTAATAACCATCAATTTTTCATCTAAAACTAAATAGATAAATTACATATAAATCCCATCATGTTTGTTACTTAATCACGTAGACATTTCATATTTGAAATGTTACATCTACATCATTTGAGAATCTAAATATGACTAAAAATATTCTTCTAATTAGGCATTCAAATAATTTTGTTCAAGTGATGTATTACATTAGATATAAAGAATATTATATAAATACCTGCATTATATTGAACATTCAAATGATAAGCTTGAACTTTAGCGTATAACGAACCTATAAAATAAAGCGTAGTATGAAAATTATAATTTTTAATTATGATGAAATCATGTTTTTTAACTATTGTATTCACAGATATCAACGACACAGAGGTATGAGTTACATGTGAACAGACGTCAGGAGATGTGGTAGTAATATTGTAAGAGGTCCAAATATTGAATAAAAAACTTGAGGGGGTCTAGGTGTAACTTATTCAACTAGTTTTAGACGCAAAGGCTGTTAGTTTTAAGTTCACATTGATACAATTTTATACATTTGAGGATACAAATTGAGATTTTTAATATTTAAAGATACAAATTAAGATTCAAATGATCTTTTGAGGTACAATTTGCAATTAACCTTTATAAATAAGAGTTTTCTATATTGAGTGCCAACGTATTTCCATTATTTTTTTTGTGTACGGCTCGTTTATTAAATGGGTGTAAATTAAAAAATTGAACATTGTTCCGGACCCATGTTAGTCGTTAATTCTATAGCACAAAAAAAAATCTTAATTAAAAGCCCTAATTCTACAACAAATTGGATCATATATTAAACGCATAATCATATGATAAATAGATAATCTACTAAATCGAGTAATATATTAATTTATTAAGTGGGTATTCGGGTGATAAACGTGTTAAGGTATTATATCTGAACGCAACTCATTTATTATGCGGGTCAACCCGTTTACTACTTGAACATGCTAAAATTAAACTTAAATTCGCTAATTTCATATTGAATCGTATTAAATAATAAGACCATGTGAATTTTATCGGGCCTAATTATATTGTGTGATAAGACCACTGCATTTCACAGCTGGCTATTGAATAGTTTATGCTTAGAAGTTTTAAACAAAGTTATGTTTGAAATGTAACTTAACCTGTTAAACCATAATTTCGTGGAATCTAATATCACGTACTTTTTCTTCATCACAATGCCATTTTTCCGTTGACTCCGTTGTCTGGATACCAAAGCAAGTGAAGATAAGAAAGAGACTCTTCGACATGGTGATGCAATTTATCGACTATTATGGATAATTTGTGTCTGAAGATACAGTGTAATGTAAATAATTTTAAGAGGAATGATAGTAGTCGTTAGATCAATCTATTTAAGAACGCTGGATAAATTTATTAAATTTTGTCATGTTTTGTGTTATAGATTTTAACTCATTTTCTTATCGTCAACTCAAAGAGGTCATTGTCAAGCAATTTAGGTCGAAAGACAAACTTATGAGCATAGTTCGCGACGAAACTATTTGGAGACAAAAGGGGACATCGCCCCCTCACATATTCAAAAAGTTTGATGACTCGATATTTAATAACTAAGTGGTGGACATTCATTACTTGTATGAGTGTTTTCTTAATGAAAAAGAATGGTTAGATGAGTTGTCGAGCAAAAGAAAAAATGAGGAAAGGTATGACAAAATCGAGTTAGAGCTGTGATTATATTAGTAATATGCATTGACAAATAAGTAAATTTTATGATGATGCCGTGTGAAATTAATATCAGGAATCATTGCATTATGTCATAAGTAAAGAAATAAATAAACCGTGATAATGTCCTAAATCGACTGTCGCAATGGTACTCACAATAATAAATTTTTGAATTTTATTTTAAAATTTTTGAATTTTTCAATTCAGACGTGACGTTGTCAATAATTTTTTGAGCGACTCCATTTAATAAAATTTTAAAAAGTGCCACTGTTTTTGGTTGCTGGTTGGCCCCCACTTATGACAAAATCTTGTTTCTGTCCCCCGGTTTAGTGTGGAATTTGTCACACCACATAGAAAAAAGGGAGGGGTGATGTAGAAAAATAATTAACAATTATTATAATTTTATTTTTACTATTTTTTTTGCTGAGTAACTTAGAGATGCAAGGGTAAAGAAGTAACATATCATGTGTGGTGTGCATGCCTGAGGGAGGCAGCTGTGTGTGTGTGTTCCGGTAGGAAACTTCCTTATGACTTTTTTTTTTTTTAAGTGAGGCTAAAGAAAAGCGTTCAAAAATTATCTGATAGATTTTTATTAGTGAGATCATAAGGTTTTTGATCGTATATGTTATTTATATCAGGAATGAACAAATTAGTAAAACGGTCAATCACCAAATCTTATTATGAATTCAAAAACTCAATCCTCTAATATCAAGACGAGAAATTCGATCGATACGACTACCCCGATAACTTCCTTTGTCCTTAATCCCCATTTGGCCAAATCATGAGTTGCATAGTGGTGTGTACTCTTATAACTTTGTCCTTAATTCCCATTTGGCCAAATCATGAGTTGCATAGTGTTGTGTACTCTTTGCGTGTGGATCATTCAGCAATCTGAATGCTTCAATAAGGGAGCCGATTACGGCACAACCAACAAGCTTTGCGGTCGCATTTTGGCTGCAGAAAGAATACAGAAGGTTGTGGGGCCATGTGTAAAAACAAGTGCTGTCCAGTGATGTTTTGCATGGCTTAGCATTGCATCGTGTGTCACGACTAATAATAATAATCCGTATTTAAAATTATTTTATAATATAAAAAAATTAAGCATTAATTATGTAATTTTTTTATTTTAAAAAAATAATTTATAAGTTGATAATTCAACTTCAACAGTAGTATTAAATAAATTGGTGAGTCCCCTTCTATTACCTCCATTGATTTTCATGGCCCTAGACAACAGCTTGCCTTGCTGCCATTGCTTCAGCAACCAGTGGATCATTTTCAGCTTCCAATGCTATTTTGGCTTCAAATTCAATCACTATACCTTTGGCTTTCCTCGCAACTGCAACA